CATCAGTTTCAATTTCAGAATGGGAGCGTGACTCAAATGTTATTCCAAATTTGTGCCCAAAAATAGAGTTCCATTTTAATCACCCTATTTTGATTCACCCACTTAGTCTCCCTTATTAGAATGAAGTTTAAGGGAAAATGTATCTAAGGTACATCCCTTAAGTTTGTAGGTTTACAGCTACAGGTTAAACCCCATTCCCAAGGCTGAAAATAGATGTTGCCTTTGTGCTTCTGTAAACATTTTTTATGGTGGCACAAAGCCCAAGCAAGCAGACATCCATGTCTTTTGTTGCTCCACAAATACCCAAAACTTGCTCTGACAATAGGTGCTATAAATTTGTGCTGCTTTTTTGTGGCGGGCATCTATCTGATTTATGGTGGGAGAGTGTGGGTGGCCCGAGCTGCCCTGTGCTCTCCAGCTGTCTTGGGCAGGTGTTCCCAGGTCTTCAGGGGCCCAATTCTTTGCACCAAGGAAATCTCCTGCATGGGATTTCATAGAGCATGCAGGATAGGGCCCTTGAAGTACTTGCCTGGTTTTCCTGTTTGCAGAGGTGCACTCCTAAAATATCCTTGCAGGGGATTTGCTCAATTCAGGCTCTGCCTCTGCAAACAGGGGCACCCCAGGGAATCCAGGCAGTTCCTAAAAGTTGGATATGCTCTATGTTGAAACTCCTCTGGATAATCTTTGGGCTGAAATCTGGTAACCTTTCATTCTTTCCTTATGAGACAAAAAGACTCTTAGGCTATAAACATAAGTTGTCCTTGGAGCACAGACTAAGGAAACCTGCTTCTTTAGGCAGCATAGACATTGCCTGTTGTCTCTTGGGGTCAGGCCCCTGCCACTCCTGGGATTAAGCCTGTGGGACATCTGCAAAATGGGGCTGCTGACTTGGTGCATACCACTGCATGTGGGGGAACCCCAGGTGTACCCTGAGTATGTTCCCCTTTTCTGCAGCTCAGAAATTATCCAGATGAGTTTCAACGTATCCCAACTTTTAGAATTGGCTAGATTAGATCTTATAGGTACCACTAGGGTTCCTTTCACAAGTGCACGAGCAGACTTTGCTGCTTCCTTGAGAAGTATCCCCATTATTGATAGATTCAAGACGGCCATAAATTCATTTATTGAACATAATCATTCCTGAAAACGCGCTACTTTTGGTAGAGTTGTTTTATGATTTACTTTTAAATGAAACTGCCTGCACTCTCTAAATTTGATCAGGGCACTGCTTGGTAAGCACCAAAAGTGGAGCATATGTATGGACAAGCACTTGAAGCAGAAAGTGTTACTTCTACAGTAACTAGAGTTTTTTCAAAAGTATTATTTATATATATTAAACAGTTGGCTTCTCTGTTTGAGACATTTTATAATTTGGCTTCTGGAGTAGAGAAGCATCTGAGTAGTGTTTGGTCCTGCATTACCTGGCTATAAGACCATGAAGGGCAATTTGAGCATGTCACCCCAACAGAAAATATTGTCCAAGAGAGTTCAATCTTAATTGCAAAGGGCACAGAAAGCAGAATGTGTATATATAGACATGTAGAAAAAATCCAGTTACTACATATGTTCCTCCTAACTCTTTCCCAGGGAAGTGGAAAAGCATTATTGGTTGCTAGATACCTAGAATAGCACAGAATTTGACAAAGGCAGGTGATAGAACGGTGATATTTAGTGTAACAGACTTGAGGAGACTCTTTAGCAGGTGAGGTGAATCATAGAATCAATGAGTTGGAAGGGGCCTAGAAAGATCATCTAGTCTGACCCCCTGCCATGGGCAGGAAGGAGCGCTGGGGGTGGCAGGGGTCATAAGACCCCAGCCAGGTGCCTATCCAGTCTCCTCTTGAAGATTTCCAGGGAAGGTGAGAGCACCACCTCTCTGGGAAGCCTATTCCAGGCTTTGGCCACCCTTACCGTGAAGTAGTTCTTCCTAATATCTAACCTAAACCTATCCTCCCTCAGCTTGTGGCCATTGTTCCTGGTGACTCCAAGGGGGGCCCTGGTGAACAGACTTTCCCCGAGTCCCTGCTGGTGGCCCCTGATAAGGTTGTAGGCAGCCACAAGATCCCCCCTCAGTCTCCTCTTGCGGAGACTGAAGAGATTCAGGTCCCTCAGCCTCTCCTCATAGGGCTGGCCATGGAGGCCCTCAACCATACGAGTGGCCCTCCTCTGGACCCTCTCCAGGTTCTCCACGTCCTTCTTGAAGTGCGGCGCCCAGAACTGGACACAGTACTCCAGCTGTGGCCTGACCAGTGCCGCATAGAGGGGGAGCAAGACCTCTCTGGACCTGTTAGTGATGCCCCTGTTGATGCATGACAGGGTGCGGTTGGCTCTGCCTATTGCTTCATCGTATTGGTGACTCATATTCATCCTGGAGTCAATCCTGACTCCAAGATCCCTCTCTGCCTCTGTGCTGCTGAGAGGGTCAGCCCCTAACCTATAACCATAATGCTGGTTCCCTCTCCCCAGGTGCAGCACCCTGCCCTTGTCCTTGTTGAACCGCATCCTGTTCAGATCTATCCACTTCTCTAACCTATCCAGGTCTGCCTGGATGCGGTCCCTGCCTGCCGGTGTATTCACTTTACCCCACAGCTTGGTGTCTTCAGCGAACTTGAACAGGGTGCTCTCCACACTCTCATCCAGGTCGCTGATGAAGATGTTGAAGAGCACCGGCCCAAGGACCGAGCCCTGGGGGACTCCGCTGCCCACACCCTCTCAGGTCGACATCGACCTGTCCACTACCACCCTCTGGGTTCGTCCCTAGAGCCAGTTTGCCACCCATGTGACTGTGCATTCGTCAATCCTGCAGTCCCTCAGCTTGCCCACCAGAATTGGGTGGGACGCTCTGTCAAAGGCCTTCTGGAAGTCCAAGAAGATGACATCGACTTCTTCCTTCACATCTAAGTTCTTTGTTACCTGGTCATAGAAAGAGACCAGGTTAGTCAGGCAGGATCGGCCTTGCACAAGCCCATGCTGATTACCCCTCAACATCACTTCCCCTGCAGGGCTCTCACAAATGTGACCCTTGATAATTTTTGTGAAGAAACGGCATGGACGATCAGGCATATAGGGGGTGTGAATTTGTTATGTTCTCCTCTGATACGAGATCCCAGTAAATAAATATGGGATGATGGTTGAGAGAGAGAGTTGTAGTATTATGGATCCATGCCCAGTCAACTGAAAATAATTTTGGCAACATTGGATTATTTAACTGCATTTGTTAACATTACTTTTGCCATAAGATCTAAGTTCATGTCTAGGAAGTCAAGAATAAGGCATGGTCTATATCTGGCTGTGCTTTGGGTGTTTCTTCCCAAAATTGATTCATTTGAGCAGGTATTCTTGATAATAAGGCCTGGAAATATAACTGTATGAAGATATAAGAAGAGTTCTTGGCATAATATTTAAATAAATAAGAATAATTTTAATTAGCACTTCTATAACATTTTGTACCTTGAAAGCACTATATAACATAACTAAAAAGTAAGTTAGGTACTACAATGCTATTTTCATGGATGGATTTTGTTGGTTGCCTTTTAAACTGAAATGTATCTTTTGCTATCTTCATTTTGTATTCTTTGTATCTTCATTTGTATACCTTTTGTATCTTCTTGTATCTTTTGTAAGATTTTGTATATCTTCTTTGTATATCTTTTGTATCTTCTTTTTATATAGTTTGTATCTTTATTTGTATCTTTGTTTTTATTTATTTATTTAATATTTAAAATAATGTTAAGAGTACCTCTTTAGCTTAATGAAAAGGCCCAGCTTGACTTCAGTGTTTGTTGAACTCATCTTAGCACCTGTTACCTCCTTGTAAACCTAAAAGCTATACCATGAGAGAGAGAAAACACCATGTTTCAGGGTCTTGCAAATATTTGTTGCATACTTCGTGCAGAACAACCTCATTATAATGAGCTCCCATGGAACTGGGAGAAGAGTTTGTTTAGAAGAATGTGTTCACTATAATCAGGCTACGCACTGCCTTGCATCATAATAGGGAAAAATGTTTTTCTTATGCTAAGAGTAGGGGAGAACAAGGTTTATTATTATGTTATAAACAGGGTTTATTGTATTTTTGTAAGTGTTTTTACAAAAAAATGGCCTTACGGCACCTATTCCCGTGTAATTACTATTTATTGCCATGATGCAGGTGGGAAACCAGATTTAAAACCCCTGTGTCTTACATGTGTACACTAAAATGTGCATACTTTAAGATTACAGGAAAATATTTTCAGAGAGCTTCAAAATACAATTTGGTAGAGAGAGGAAAAATGGGCAAGGTAATCCAACAGCATACCTTATGTTAGCAATGACATAATTTTCATAACTTTGTGTATATAATGGTCAATTGTATCAAGCTAACATTAAAAGGAACTTTTGACAATCACTGTCTTTTGTTTTTCAGTGATTGTGATGAAAACTACGCTGAGGAGGAAGAAGTTGTGAGAGACAAGCAACTGGTTCTTGCCCTACATTGACCAGCAAGTAAATAACTTTGCTTAACATAAAATGAGTAGCTGGCATAGTCATCTAGGGCACTGTAAACTTTAACTGTTGAAGACTGCTTTGTAGGTCACCGATATGAATAAAAGGCGTTTGAAAATAAAATCATATGTGGATATTGTCTTTTACTTTAATTTATTTTTTAGCAGAAGCAACTTGTCTTCAGTAATATTGCAACTTTAAGATCCTTTTACTGAAGACTTAGAAAGTTAAGAAACAGGGTGCTTAATCCTGTAAGTTGCCTGTTTGTTGTAATGCACAGGTGGGCAAAATATGTCCCGTGGGCTGGATCTGCCCTACCAACTACTTGTATCCAGCTTGCTGGCTGGCTGCTGCCAGCTCCTGGGATCTGGCTTGCAGGTGGCCGATGGCTCTAACTCTGGCTCCGGCCACCATGTGGTACCAGGTAGGTGAATGGGACTGCTGTTCAGTGCTGCTGCAGTGGCATCAGCTGTGGACCCCGGCAGATGTCTCGATCCCCATCTGGAACATGCTGGGTGTGTTCACAGCTGATGCTGGTTCCCATTTGGGGTTGCTTCTGCCACGTTGGGGGTGGTACCAGAAAATGCCAATGGGGCCAGCAGGTTCTGAGTTAGAGATGGGGATTGGGGCATGTTTCAGCTCTGGGTAGGGGTTGCAGTGGGAAGGGATGGGGAGAGAGAGGTTTTGGGGCATGCTAGAAAGATCTGGGGAGTGGGAAGAGAGAGCAAAAGGGAAGATCGGAGCATGCTATAACTCAGGAGCTGGAGAAAGAAAGAGAATCGGGGTGTGCTATACCTCTGGAGACGGAGAGAAGGGAGTGGGGGGAGAGAGAGGATTGGGATTAGGGCATGCTACAGCTCCAGGGAAGGAGGGAGGAAGGAAGATACGGCCCTCAAGAGTACACCAGAACTCATTAAGTGGCTTTACAGCCAAAATAATTGCCCATCCCTGTTGTAATGAGAGCTGAGGCAGTGCAAAACATGAAAATCTATAAGCAGGGCTGATGGGGGATTTCTTTGCCTCCACATCAGAACACAGGAAAAATTTGAGCAATACTTAACAATTACGTTTTTACCTCTTATCCATTTAAAAACAGTTGTTAGTCAAGGGGCTTAATTATCAGTTCCTGTCTGTATTTAGTCCTGTTCTTATAGTTTCATAGTTTCTAGGGTTGGAAGGGACC